ATTATTATTAATTATTAAAAAATGTTAAAATGTTTTTTTATTGTCCATAGACATACAATAAAGTGATTTTTTTTTCTTCAAAAAAGTAGCAAGATACGAACAAATTCAAGATACAAAGAAGTTGTGTTTTTAGTTGCTTAGTGCGAAAAAAATTATAAAAGTTTTATAAAACTGGCATACATTTTTTTTTTGTCAAAAATATTGATTAAAGTGCCTCCCGGTTAAGGTGCCACTGGACTTAATAATTTTAATCTAGTTAGAGTTAAAGATTTTTATGAAAAAACGATTTTTTAAAAAGTTTGACACTCAACCTCAAACTCAGGAATTGTATTCGTATCTAAATTAGCGCGTTGGTATGCAACAGACATACTGTATGTTCCAAAAATAAGCGTCAAAACTTTAACCACATATTAAGTCACCAAACGCAACAATTTCGGCCTAATAATTTTTTCCGAAATAATTTTTTTCGCTTGTACTTAAAATTCTGTTAGTGTAAACTGATCTAATCCAAAGATTTTTCTATACAGCTCACATCTGTGTTTATGTCTTGCTATTACCTCAAAAAGCATCCCAGTTCTCTTAAAGGATAGGTATTTTTTATACTAAGCAAAAATATGTGTCAATGTTCTTACCTGTAGGTCTCTGACCTAATGACCTCATCACGACTCCCAGTTCCGCCATTGTTATGGTGCCATCTTCGTCTTTGTCGAACAACATGAAGGCTTCTTTGAATTCTGCCACTTGGTCTTCCGACAATCCATATTCAGTCTAAAAGACCAGACAAAATATGATTACTTCATTCAAAGACTCAAGTCAAGGGAAAGTAACATTAAATAAATTTAAGAAGATTTACTAATGCAGTAAATGACACAATAATATACTCCGGAGTAAAACATAAATTTCTGAATTATACCAGCAGGTAAATAATGCAGAATATTATTTAAACCAAATAATTAAAGAGTATATATAAAGTAATATTGCAATGAAAAATTTGGTATAGCAGATTTAAATTAAGGAAGTCAGTAAAAATTAAGAATATATATAGAGCAATCTCTTTAAAAAGTTATTTAAATGACAAAGTATATATTTAATTTTTTACACCTTTTTTTTAGTGACGTCTTTATCCTTCAATGTTTAAAAAAATGAGTTCACTGTGATATCATATCACACCACAAATTAATCTAAACATGCCTACTGAACAACTAGTACAGTTCTCAACTCACACGCGGTGACACCACACCGAGTGATTGATCGAGCCAAATCAGGTCATGTAAATTCATATTTTTATTCGTATATTTACATCAATTATAATAAAAATACATAAAGGATAACGTGTAATTGTACACAATTATATAAAAAATCTATTTGAAAATTCACAATTTTTATCAGTATATGTATTTGGAAGCTATTTGAATTTATAAATGACATGATATAAAATTGGTTAAAAGCTGCATCAAAAAGCCTTTTCGTGAATAACATTACGGCCAATATGGCAGAAAGGCTATGTTAAAAAACCCACGATTGATTTTAACTACTGCATCGTGGATTTCATTGCATATGTGGTCTATAAAATGTAACACTAACACTACTGGACTGGACTAAATTCAGGACAATGTTTTAGGAATGTACTATTACTTCGTTTTCTTGTTTTTCACTTATTGTTACTGTCGTGCTTTTCATTGTTGCTATTGCAGAGCCTTAGAACTAGGGAATTCCAGTCCAGTGATGCCGGCTAATGTTTGACATAAAACGAATTTCGTCAGCTGTTCTCGTTAGAAGACAAACACAGCATATTTTCGTTTTCAACCTCGTTCCTATCTGATAAATAATCATTAAAATTCATTCCGTGCTAGACTTCAAAGAAAATCGCTAGCCTTGATTTCCCGCAACTATTTATACGATCCGAAAAACAGGTATTATCCTTTGACAACGACAGTTCTGCACAAAACGATTAATTTGCATCTGCCACTAACTTGTTAATAGTCCGAGTCAGTTCATGTTCTGATTCGCGCAATGTCCAATTAGTTAATCTAATAGCTGTAATGTCGCTAATGAGGTTCATAGGGACTAATTTTTACATAGCGAAAGGTCAAATGTTGAAATTTGCATTTCGTTATACTTAACGTTTGTTCTTAGCGTTTTTTTTATTAATTATGTAGTTAATTATATAGAAGTTTTTTAGATATTAATTGTTGAATTTCACAACTTTATACACGTTTCCTTTAGTTCGTAGTTAAGAAAAAAACATGTAGGGGGAAGTGGTTTTTTTTTGCCCATATCTAGCGAGAGATACAGGATGTAACTAAATAAATGTGAGGTGGAGGGGGATATTCTTTTATGTAACAGAAATCCATTCGCCTCATTCATGCGAATATATAACCCTTCAAAAGGAGGGGGAATTTATTTTATATTTTTTCCTTACCTAGTGAAATTAGTACATCTTTCTTATTATTGAAAAGGTATTTACTGAACAATTTCTTGATATTCCCTTTCAGTTATAAGAGGTAAAATTGAATAGTTTACAAGTAATGTTTAACGTAATTTTTTATGTCGTCAGTATGGATGGTCAATTAAAAACATAATTTAACATAATTTAATTTTATATTATATTATTATTATTTTATTTTAATTTAATTTTTTAATTTAACATAACATAATTTTGAGCAAATAAAAAATAAAATAGACCATAGCGCATAAGTTTACTCATAGGTACAGACTAGAGTCTAATTACAATAAAAAAAACAATAAAATGAACGAAAGTAAATTTAAAAAAAGCTATAATAATATTGTACATATAGAAAAAAAAAACAAAATTCCATGGACGTACCCCGGAATTTTCTTAGGGGGGGAGGGTTTACACTAAAAGCTTCAATTATCTAAACAAATACATAATATACTTATTTTTGTTTCACTTTTTATATTAATTAAAACTATACAGAACAAATATCAGTAATAATAATGTAATTTTTCAAACTGGCAGCATGCAGCAAGAATTGGGGGGAGAGGTCTCCCCCTGCTCCCCCTCTGACTACGCTCTTGAAAAAACAATTGCAATTACTACATATGAATCAAATAATGCAGTTTTTTAATTCTTGATTATCTTGCACAGGTTTCTTGTACCCAGCTTGTAAAAGAACCCCATGCTCAAAAGTCTATAGGATTTAAACCAAGTGTTCGAGGAGGTCATGGACTATCCAACGATTTGAATATGTTTCGTTTAAATATCGCTGTGCAAACCAATCCGATCTTTGACACCTAGAAGTACATCTTCAAGCAATGCTGGAGGTACTTCTTCGAGAAAACATCTTCATACAATTTAGGTGACAGAAATCAAGAGTTCCAGTCCAGATATTCAGAGAAAACTGTTGATACATATAAACTTCGACTGAGAGTGTCGGTTCTCTTCAGCTTATTTGTGAACATAATAACAATTGATTCTCTTGAGTCTGTAAATAAAATCATGATTTTAAAATCTTTTTTTTTTCATTTTTTGCCAAAATTCATGATTTTGCCTAATCTTTTCCAGAGTACAGAATGAGAAAATGTGGTAAGTGGTTAAAAATTTCCTGCTAAAAGAGCCTGGACTCGTTGTATGTGAAAATGATACAATAGGGAAATTAGGAAGATAGCGTCCTAATTTCGCGATGACGATCACAATCATGAGTTCTTCTCTTGAGAGTTCCGGTTTCACAATCGTTTATGAAGGCGTGATGAAGAGTAATATGTTTAGGGTAAATTTGAGATGCCTCAAAATTGTTACCATTGGCAGGATCAAAAACGACATGCATATCGGTCAATTTGGCGTCAGTGTAGTCTTGTATATGTATATGATAGACTATGACCACTCCACCGTGGTATATTTCCATTACAAGGGCGAAGTTCAAAAATTGGATATAAAGTTGATGCATGTATTGAGCGAAAACAACAAAAATGTGCGTGTTCGTCAACTACATCCATTGTTCCAGATTGTTGCTAGAGACGAAAAATGAACCTTTAGTTCAACGCCAAGAACAGAAAAGCATGGCTTAGGCTTAACAGAATGGTATCTCTGAGGGCAAAAACTGGTATCCATCCGCGTGAATGTAACCATCGCTACTGAGCCTTATTACCAATAACTTCGTCATTTTGAAGTCGCAGTTGAAGGCTGATTTTGCAGCATGATAATGCTACTAAAAACTATTGTAAGCGATCAGCTGCTTCCACTAAACTCGGTGCAGCTTTTTATGCTGATTCAAGGCTTGGGAACAAATCCATCGATTGTAGTCTAGCAAATTTACAAACCACCTTCGAACTGGGCACCCTAACGAGCCCCTTCGGACTCGTATACACTTTGCGGAGCATCCACCAGCTCCCCGGCACCCCAACAGCCAAACAAATATTTCCCAGGTGCATTTATTATTTTCATACCCCCAAACTGCTCATTTGAGGCCCATTTACATAATTCGACCGCCTAGTTCCCCGCTTTCAGAACTGAATACCGAGTTTCGACGCTCAGAATATGAGGCGAAATGAATAAACGGCGCACGGTTCACTTCGTCCCATTCCTCTCTCGTTCATATTTCAAATGTCATTCCGTTCTGGCGAATATCTACATGAGAACTGCGTCAACTACTTTGACGGCAATACCGCGGGGTTTCTTACGGTTCGTAGCACGCTGAGAAGTAGACTGGGATGGATTGTGGCGCGGTGTACGGGGTTGGTCATTTTGGGTAGGTTGGCGCTAGTTTTCTGTGGATTATTTATTAAATTCGACAAATCAGCTGGTAAAATCCCACCTAACTTTTCATAAAATTTTACAGCGATAAAGTAAAACTTTTTGGATTTAACATTCGTGGAGGTTACGACTGTGACCCGCTTATTACCATAAAAATCAGTAATTAGTCTCGTGGCTATCGTGCATCGAACTGTCAGACGCAATGCAATGCTTTGGGGGCACTGAAACTGGCTAAATTGACAGAGAAATGGAACATGAGGTGCTTAAAAAAGCACAAAGAAGTAAAATAAGTAAATTTGGAAGCAATTTCTTGCGTTTTGTGGTGCTTTAGATGAAATAATATCTTCTCTTGTAAACATTATAAAAATTACGCTATCAATATGAAAAAAACTGATGATTTTATGACAAGAATTAATTGAAGAAATATGCGGTTGATCTGTTTCCTTCATTTATGTTAGATCTTGCAAATTCCTCGAAGATATGGGCGTAGCCTCTTGGATTTGTGGGTACACATGTTCGCAAGTGACCCATTTTGAGTGTTGCGTCAAGAGCTCCAGCCTATCGCCGCCCAGACGCACCAGGGTTCCCGGAAGACGACCCCGACAGATTGGCGCCAAGGACCAGGTACTTATGCGAGCGACTCCACGCCAAGAGGGACTCTCCAGCAAACACTCGAACCGATAGCACGTCTTCTTTCACAAGCTTAGTTTTCAATAAAAATAATTTATTTGTACCGTTGAGAGAACGTTTTATTTTTACTGTACAGCGAAAGCGACCCTCAGATTATTTTACAACTCTGTAGGAAGCATAGTAGAGATCTGCTACATAGGGATTCGAACCAAAAGCTGAATACCCAAATCGATACAGTATGAATCATACCATTGGCGTCCCGGCTACTGCAGCTTCTATTACTTCTTTGCTATATTTTATAATACAATGGTAAAGGCATATCGCCTTATATGTGTTAAATGCAACAGCATACCTTTATCGACATATCAACAACACTTTACCAACTCATTGTTACAAATTTTTGCCATTTTCGTCTTTGAAAACTATAAACTGATTTGCCCCCGCTACAAAAAAATTCATCCCTTACCCTATGTGTCTCGGAAAACATAGTTTTCCCGCCAATTTTACCTATAGCGCACTTAAACATCGACAGTCTTATAAAAATAGCTAAAATGTAGAGGTTCACCATTTTCCTCCCCATTACCACCCCCCGTAATCATGGAAAACCCGGCACATTTCTATTCGAAAGGTCCAACCTACACAATGACACTAAATCGCACCGATCGGACGAGGGTTCGCGACCGAATATTTGTTACACTGAAAGTTTATACCCCGTTAAGGAAAAATCAGAAAGAGTAGTTCGAAAATGATTTAAATACTGGTCCACTGTAAAACCTGACCTGGCACAATGCGAGCATCATGCTGGAAGTGATCAAAACGGACAAAAACTTTCGCAAGAAAAGGAATAAATAGAATTTTATATAACCTATTTTATATCAGCAAATTCAATTGATTTTGCCGTTACTGTTATTTTTAATTAATAAAATTAATTTGTGGTTTTAAATAATATAATACTTTGGCATACCTGATGTTACAACTGTTCAAAATTTTGACACTACTACTAAAAAACTATTGTAAACACTATGGCAACGACAACTGTAAAATCGGATTTCAGTATTTCCATTTCTCATGCAGCATTTTGTGTGAAACGTAATACCTGATACAGATTTTTTTTTCATTAAAACCTATACCAAATGATGATAGACGGTGGAATAAAAGCTCAACTGTGATTTATTTTTCAATTTTCTATTAAAGACACCTTTTATTTAGAAAGGTCAAACTATGAAACATTAGTAGAGACAGTAAATGATCATTTGGATAACTGTGTATACAGACCGATGTAAATACATCAATAAGTTCATATTTTCGCATTCCTCGTTGTTTATACACTTAAATTTTTTATTTCGCGCATTGTACGCGAAATATGCATAACTTGAACCCAAGCCAGCCGTCGCGTCGTCCCAGTCCTGACACAGTAACATACTGTACGTATCATTTTTAATTATAACAAATATAACTCAGACTCGCCAGTCTTAGCAGAGGTGCAATTTCCTCTAGTTTACGACAGCCCATAAAATCGCCAAAGTTCTGATTTATATTTGTAAGCATCGGATTTTTGGGCAAGCAAACAGACACACACTTTTTTTGTACGCCATGACATAAATAAACCGTACATTTATAGGTTTCAACCAATACAGAACATAGTTAAAACATATATATTTTTTTATATACACGTATAACTGTCTAAACAAAAAACAGGGGAAGGGCTCTCGAGGTTCCAGCCGTTGCGTTTATTATTGCATCCAATTACATTCTCGCAATTTACAATACCTAACTGGACTTCTACGTAAGAGCGTAAATAGTCACAGGCGTACCATCTTTTCTTTTAATTCATATACTTAATATTAAGTTTGTTTTTTAGGGCCATGGGCGTAGCTAGGGGGGCAGGGGTGTGCACGGCTCACTCCAGAAAGCCCGGTACACACAACACGAAAAGAAATTCATAATATGTTCTTTCTCATCGATAAGTCGGTGACTACGTGACTTTTTTTATTTTTTAAGGGGGGGGAGTCAATTAGGCCTCAAATTGAGGGTTAAGGTTGTTTCAAGGTCAAATTGAAAAAAAGCAGAGCAGTTAAGTCCGACCACGTGTTATACAGAATTTTGGTCCGAGGTCAGTTTGTCTGTATCAGGTTACTTGAAGGTCGTCTCAAGGTCATTTCAATGTCAAGTTAAGAAAAGCGAAGCAGTTACGTCTAACCGCCTGTTATACGCGTATTTGGAGTTGCTGAGTTCCAATTTGAGGTCAGTTTGTCTGTGTCAGGTCATTTGAAGGCCATTTTAAGGTCATTTGAAAGTTAATTTATGGAATAGACTCTGGAATCGATTACCGTTCTTATAGTCGCTGGGTCCGAATGCGAGGTCCATTTATATTAATTAATAAAGGTTCAAGGTTATTCCAAGGTTGATTTAAGAAAATGGCCTTCTGGTAGGGTCAGTGAGTACCGAAGCTGCATTGATATGGGGCAATAAGGGTTTTTATGTAGGAATATAGGTGTTTATTGGGTAAGATGGAGTGGAATAAGACGGGTATGGATTATGTGGGTATATTGGTTTATACGGAGTCATATGAGTGTATATTGAAATGGTAAAATGGTAGAGTAGGTTAGTATGAGAGAATACAGCGTTTTGTGGAAGAATATGGGTGGATTCGAGGGAATATGGGTGGATTCGAGGTAATATGGGTTGGTATGATTTTTTGCGAAGTTTATATAGGTTAATATTGTCAGTTCAGTCTTTAGTTTAGATTCGATGAAATACAGGGAGGTTCAAAATCGCCCCTCACCAGAAAACTTCTTTTTTCTTAAATCAATCTTGGAATGATTAAACCTGATTTGATACATATAAACGCACCTTAGATTCACGCTGAGAGACTTCAAAAACGGCAATCGATTTATCGGTTTCTTCTTGGTTTGACTTTTAAATGACTTTGAAATAACAATCAAAGGACCTGATGCAGACAAACTGATCACGGATTTGAACTCAACTAGCCCAAAAACCTATAACACAGTCAGTTAGATTTAACTGCTCGGTTTTTTAAATTTGACTTTGAAATGACCTTGAGACGACCTTTAAATGACCCCAAAATCCTGTATAACAAGTGGTTGAAGTTGATTGCTCGGCTTTTCCTCAATTTCACATTAAAATGACCTTGAAATAACTTAAAATGGCCTTATACAGACAAACTAACGGATTTGAACTCACCGACCCATAAAACCTAAACTCCGAGATCCTTTGATTCAATGCACTTTTTCTCAATCTGACCTCTAATTGACCTTGATCCTGACTAGGAAGGAGGGGGGGAGGGTTGCGTTTGGGGTGAAATCGATTAGTTATTGGATATAAATAATAAAAAAAAATGTTTTCTTTATTTTTGCCAAAAATGAAGGGAGTTGAAAACCGGCCTAATTGACCCTCCGTTTTTATTATTTTTTTTAGAATTAAACGAGAGAGTGATTAGGTTTTGAACAGTTATATCGGCATTAGAGAGGCCTTCATAGATTTTGCAGCTCTGAATCCAACCCTAGCAAATATCCCGGCTCCTGCGCCCATGTGTCTATTTTGAATAGAACCGTTTAAATACATAAATAAGTAAATAGATAAACTTGCGCACGCCTATGACTGTCAATTTTCCATCGTTTTCCCACCCAAAAATCGTAGGCTTATTTATAACGGTGTCGCAGAACGCCCATGAGTTCTGGGAACAAAACCAAACGGCTAGAAATAATAAATCCTACTTACACATGATTGCTGCACGTCTAAATTGCTTGTCAATCGCCTCAATCGAGAGTATTCCTTTCCGTAGCGCTCGGTTTCGGTCATTTTTCAATTTCGCTCGCGGCCCACTCCGATTTGGACGGCCTTACTGTCCGTGTCACCGTCGACGGGCAGTAAAATTTCGAGTTTTATCGCCCGCACCTTCTCGCGCTTCACTATTTATATATCAATTTATTATTTTTGCAAAAATCATGGCGGGATTCGTCCGAATTGCGCGCTTTTTAACGACCAACTAAATCCTCGCCGTTTATATAAGACGTTAAGTTATTTTATTTTCAAGTTGGCAAGCGACATGTCCCGTGAACGGCTTATTATTTGTTTGGTGAGGTTAATTTCAACGATTTTAGGAATCCGAGCCTGCTTTGTTTCGCTGATCGGCGATTGTTTATAACTGAAGTCCGCGTCAGTTGGATAGGATTCAATCGATCTAGTCACAGGCGTGAACGAATAATTAGCGCATTGTGTTTTTCGGTATTAAAAAAAGTGTAAAAATACTGCGTCTGGGTTTGCTGAAAGCCTCGCGATTCCCGCGAGATTAACAGGAGTGTTTATTTCAACTTCTGTGTCTTTATTATTATAACTGTCATTTAGATTTTAGCGGTGTTCTTGATGAACTGAACTTCAAATGTTTGATTACAGTTACAGGCCAGGAAAATAAGCTGGGAAATTACCATTTCGCGACTTTTTGTTTCGGCAAGCTGAATTTATCACTATAGATGGTAAATATTAAAAATCAGTTCGATTGTGGAGGATCCTCGGGATTGTCCAGACTAATAATTAGTTAATTTGTTTATAAGGCCATAACTTGTAAACTTACCGATTCCAGATTTCGTGTGAATTATTAGACAGTGATAAGGAATGAGAGGATGCGACGCCAAAACGTTCTGGTAATAATAACGCAGTTTATAAATGTTTAATTCAAAAGTCATAAATAAACTTCTTCTGTTTATAACTTTTGATCTAATCAATATTTTTTGACGCTCGAGGGCAATATTTGTAGGTCTTTTGAAGATGAAAAATTATACAATTAACCACACTGTAAACAATCTTCCCCCCGTTTTTATGACTGTGGAAACTAATATGTTATTGTACATGAAATTTAGCATCTATAGTGATAAATTCTATATTTCCTGACCTATAGTATTAATCATTTGAATTTACCGCTAGCGTTACAAGCTTTTTGGCTGCGTTGCTAGTAGACAAAATGTACCAGATCTGTTCAAAAAATAACTTATTATTATTAATTAGGTTATTGATTCAGAGTTAGTAATTTTCCACAACCCCCAACATTTTTTAGAAATCGGTTCTGAATAAAAAACACAAAACTTATCACTTTTAACACTTGTATCATAAATAACTATTTTTATTTAGAAACCATGTTGGCAATTAAAAGCTTTCTTTTCTCACTGTATCTCATCTCCTAATAGTCCAAGAGAATTAAATTAAAAATTAAATTTTAATGAAATCTTGATAATTGAATTCCTCTCATTATGATATATTGATTTTAAAAAAATCATCAAAATCGGAGCCGTAGAAGCCGAGACATTGAACACCGAAGAAGGCTCGCTCTTTTTGAACGCGTAATTTCAATTTCTATCATTCATCCCCTCCCCGCGGTTTTGCGGCTCAAATGGTCGGATTGGCGATATTCATTGAATTTTCATAAAAAAGGCACGCGTGTGATAATATTTATAAAAGCACATACGAAAAGTTCTTAAAAAACCTACCAAATTCATATTTTGTTGTTACATTATGTATAGTTTTGCAGCTAACGTTTGTTGACTNTCCAAAACCCGATCCAAATCGGTCTGATAGTATTGGTATGAGACAATTTGTTACTAAATTTCAGCTCGAAATGTCGTTATTTTTTTACGTGAGTGCTGGGGTTAAAGTTAGGCATTTTAATTGGCGCTGATTTTTTTACACATACTTGGACCCCGGAACAATCATATAGAATCGTTAGAATAGCAATTTTCTTTTTTTGAATAATTTTTGGAGCGAATTTAAAAGTTAGAAAAATGTTTACTTTATAAACAAATACTTTCGTGAAGCGGTTTTGCGGTTTGGAAAATATACCAAAGTAGGATATTCAATGAATTTTCATAAAAAAGGCACACGTGTGATAATATTTATAAAAGCACATACGAAAAGTTCTTAAAAAACCTACCAAATTCATATTTTGTTGTTACATTATGTATAGTTTTGCAGCTAACGTTTGTTGACTTTGACACTCGATATCTCGGAACTTATAGGACCGATTTGAACGTTCTTTTTTTCAAGTTAAGCGTCTTTCCGAGAACTGTTTTTTAGTACTTTGGTATATTTTACAACCCACGAAACCGCTTCACGAAAGTAATTGTTTATAAAGTAAACATTTGTCTAACTTTTAAATTCGCTCCAAAAATTATTCAAAAAAAGAAACTTGATATTCTAACGATTCTATATGATTGTTAAGGGGTCCAAGTAAGTGTAAAAAAAATCAGCGCACATTAAAATGCCTAACTTTAATCCCAGCACTCACGTAAAGAAATAACGACATTTCGCGCTGAAATTTAGTAACAAATTGTCTTATACATACCAATACTATCAGACCGATTTGGATCGGGTTTTGGAATTTCGTTTTATAATCGTTTAAACTACTTACATCTACATTTATAGTAGAATTGGACAATTTCTTGCCTGTCAGTTTGACACTTCCAAATTACCTCGATTTTCATCACTTTCTTACGTTGTTTTGGCTATTTAGCAACAAAAATATGATATGCGCAGGTATCAAAACAATTCTATCTTGTAGCAAATTTCATAACAAACAATTTCACCAGTAATAGTTTTTTCTGTAAACTGCATATTTAAGAAGTTATGTTGGAAAATGTTAGAAAAAACACGTCATTTTTGAGTATTTTTGCAGTTTTTAATTTTTTCTGCAAATAGCACAACTTTTTTTCTTGGCGCAACCTTATATTTTCATTGTATATATTATTTTCTACCGATTTTTACTAATATCTAAGTTACGTCAAGCAACAGCCATATCTCGAAGGTTTTGAGCTTAATTCTCTTGGACTA